GCCCACTGCACAGCTGCTCTGAGCCAGGGGTGGCCATGGCGGGGTTGTGGGCCAGCACGAGGCGTGGTCAGTGGGGAGGCTTGACTAGGAGCGAGCAGTGGGCAGGCAGGGCAGTGGGCGGGCAGGGCATTGGTTGCTGTGGTGCCTCATGACAGGGAACGTGAGGGGAGAACGGGAAGCAGTTTCCTGCTTCTGATGAGAATGGCGAACAGAGCGGCCGGCTGCGGGGCAGGACTGTCCTGTCCTTGTCACTGCTGGTCTTCACCTCTATTGCCCGTGGGACCGGGTAGCTCTGTTCTGGGGCTGGCACTGCAGGATGCTCGCAGCAGCCCTGGCCCCTACCCACCGAGGCCACAGCACTGACAGCCCCCGGGATCCCCTGGAGACCCAGCGCAGAGACCCCAGAGGCCTGCACAAGCAGGGTTCACTTAGAGAAGCCGCCTGGGGAGGGAAGGGGCTCAGCGGTCTGTTAGTTCCCCGCCCACCCCAAGGGGAGCTTTGAACTCTCGCTGAGGCTGGGAGGAGGCTCACAGAGCTCAGCCTCAGTCCGGATCTGTCTGACTTCAGAGCCTGCATTTCAAACTGTCAACCTGCTGCTCCCAACGATGAGAACTGAGACAAGGGGCTTAGGAAGCAGCTTAATTGGGGGCTGAGATAGATAGTTCTAGAAGCCAGCAGGTCTAAATGGGAGGGAGGAGGAGCAGCACTCCGGGTCCCCAGCCCCTCTGGAAGGCCTCTGCCTGCCAGGCACCGGGAGGGGTGGGGCAGATAAACAAGTTACTCATTGCTGGTGCCGCTCCAGGCTCTTCCTGAGTCCCAGGAGGCGGGGCCTGCCGGGGCCAGGAGGGGCCGGCTGCATCCTCACGTGGGGATAGGGGCACAGACCAGAGAAACCAGAGTCCAGGTGCTGCTGTCCGGCCACAAGCTCCCAGGCAGAGCCTGCAAGGTGCCTGCTCTCCAGCAAGCCCATGGCCCTGCCATCGAACGCCAGGCACGCAGCCCGCCAGGCACACGTGTGCTCTTATCTCCTCCTCACCAGCACACACACGCCCACCCTGCAGGTGGGAAACGAGGCACCAAGAGGTGACAGTGAGCTGGGCTCTGGGCCTGCGGTGCCACCTGCTTCTAGGCCACAGTACTGACAGGTGTGGATCTCCAGCAGAAGCTCATTGCATCATCCAATGCTGGTGGGTCGGTCTCTTTTGTCCCTCTCGGCCCTTCTCTCCTTTCCTTCCGTCCTTGGCTCCCTTTCCCTGTGTCTCTTTCATAAGCACTCATTAGGCAACAGCTGTGTGCCAGGCTCCATGCTAAGCCCTGGGGACTCAGTGAACACTCACTCATTAGGCACCAGCTGTGTGCCAGGCTCCATGCTAAGCCCTGGGGACTCAGTGAACACTCACTCATTAGGCACCAGCTGTGTGCCAGGCTCCATGCTAGGCATGGAGGACAACGCGGTGAGCAAGGCGGACCTGGCCCATGCAGCACGTGTGCCCAGGCCACTGGATGAAATGACACCAGGGCCTGCTGCCCCTCGCCCCGCCCAGGTGAGCACACTGGGTGGGCTCTTGCTTCACCTTCTGGAGGGCGCTCCCTGGATGGGAGGGCAGAGGCGTGCAAAGCAGGCTCCATAACGAAGGCTTTGTTTGCAAGAACACCCTCCCTGTGGCCCCCGATGGGCCAGAGAACAAAAGGGAGCCGGCTGGCTGCTCACGCTCTGCTCTGGGCGGGTTACATCACCCACAGGGCAGATGTGGGAATTTTCCACAGCCGGCTGCGTGGGCAGGGGCCGGGGCCGCGCTCTCTCCTGTGTGGCGTCCGCTGGTGGGTTTATTATCCTTTATAACTCGTGCCTCTGAAACATTTCATAGCGAAAGTAAAAGAAATGAACAAGATTTACAGCATAAAACCGCCTGCGTACTCAGTACATTCAGAGGCACAGCCGTGCGCAGTATTTGGCTCAGACGTGGCACAGCGGCCGAGGATCACAGACTCAGGCGGGGACGGGAGCTGCGACAGAGAGCCGAGAGCCCAGGACGGCCTGCGCCGAGCGGGGACAGTGGCCCTCGAACCACGAAGCCCAACTTCAGGCCGGCACTCTCCCGGAACGGCGGTCGTGGCCGTGTGACGAGGCGCGAGGGGCACTGCCCCTTCAGGTCCCACCCCTGCCTCTTATTGGCTCCGAGAGATCGCGGGCCAGCAACCTCCCCGAGGCCGTCTCCCCCTTTGTGAATGGGGCTAGTAATCTGACGTGATGCGTGTCACAGGTTTGTCGAAAGCTCCTTATACAACATGACTAGGTCCAGGGGACTGGGTCTCTCCCTGCCCTTCTTGTAAAACCATTTAGGAAAAGAGCATGGGCTCTGGTCAGGAAGGCCCTGGCCCCAGCCGTGAAGCACACAGCACCCCTGAGGGTCAGGTCTGAGGCCCCCAGGGAACACATACAGGAAACGCATCTGGTCCAGGGCCAAGGCCACCCCACTAAAGCACCGATGCGGGCTCCTCCCGGCCTCCCGAGCTGCTAGCCTGGCCTGCGCGTGGACCCTGGCGGAACTCCAGCCGCAGCCACTCCCCTCCAGCATCCCCTGGTGCCCAGTGGGGATGGCTGCCCTCTCCACAGCCCCGCTGGTGACCGGCTCGGGACTGGGATGCCCAGCAAGGCTGTGGTGGAGCCAGCCCAGCCGGGCGGGTCCATGGTGGGGGGTGGAGCGGGCGCTGGGCCTGGACCTGCAGAGGGAGGAGCTGAAGCACCACTCTGCCAGCCTGAGCAGGGGTGCTCTGGGTTCATCGGCGACTGGTCCTGGACAAAGGCTGGGAGGACGATCCCGGGGACTTTGGTTGGAGCAGAGGCCACACCGTCCCCGGCCCGTTGGGAAGGGCCACATGCTGGCATTTAGGGAAGATACCGCGGGCAGGGCAGGGTGTGGCAGCTGTCCCCAGCCAGCTAACAGGAGGTCACCCCATGTGAGCGCCCCTGCCATTCTGTGTGACCTTGGGCCAGCTTCCTGCTCCACCTCCTTGTCCCTCGAGAGATGATCTCGTCTCGGGATTCTCGGGGAGACCAGCCATCACAGAGCACCTTGTGAGTCCACACCTGTCCATCCAAAGGCCAGCGCGGCATCTAAGTGGGGTCCAGCCGGCACTGCAGACAGAACTGTCCAGGCTGGAGACCATGCCTGTCGGAACTTCTCCTCCTGTCTCCCTGAACGGCCACTTCTCCCACCCACTTCCTAGACCAGAATCCATTGACTCTTAATCCCTTCTTATTCCACTTCCAAAGCACAGCCCGCATCCACCCACTGCCCTCACCTTGGCTTCTCTCACTGTTTTCCAAGCCACGCGAGCAGGAACCTCCCGTCTTGCCTCCTGGTACCACACCTGCTCCAAGTCCACCTTCACACACACCTCCATCAGATCAGATCAGATCAGATAAGATCACTTTCCTGCTCGAAGCACCTCTGTGCCTGCTCTGCTGTGGCCCTGCCCATCTCACACGGGCCTTCTTTTTATTCCTTGAGCAGCATTTCGTACCTCAGGGTCTTTGCTATTCTGTTCCCTCTGCCTGACATGCTGTTCCCTACTCTCTTGGCTTGACGAACTCCTACTCACCCTTCAGATGTCACCCCAAACAGCCTTCTCTTGACCTCAACCTAAATTTGGCCCTTACGTTATTTGTCCTGATAGCAGGCATGACTCCTCATCACCGTTGAGTCAAGCATGACATTTGACTTGCACGACTCTCATTACTACCTGTCCCCACTGCATTGTGCCCCCAAAGCAGTGTTAGAAAGAGAAACAGGCCCAAGTGGAGTCCCTGTTGCTCAGCCCGTCTCCAAAGCCAAGCCGCGCCAGCCTGCCGGCCCAGCCTCTCCCAGGAGCGGAACTTAAACCAACCGCCCGGAACTCCCTGGTCAGTACTACTGGGGTCATTCGCCTTCCCCGACGGGACGCTGTCCAGGCCTGGAATAATCCACCTGTTACTTCTTAGTCCCACCCTCTTTCCGCCTAAATAAAACAGGCCCAAGGAGTCCCTGTTGCTCAGCCCCGTCTCCAAAGCCAAGCCACGCCAGCCTGCCGGCCGGCCCAGCCTCTCCCGGGAGCGGAACTTAAACCAACCGCCTGGAACTCCCTGGTCAGCACTACTGGGGTCATTCGCCTTCCCCGACGGGACGCTGTCCTGGCCTGGAATAATCCACTTAACTTCTTAGTCCCACCCTCTTTCCGCCTAAATAAGCCTCCCCCTTTGGACAACCGCGCGAGGCGCCCTTCTAGCTGCCAGAGGGGCTGCTGCCCCATTCACGAATCCCTGGATGAGGCTGATTAGACCTGCAGGAGGACGCAGTTGAATTTGAACTTTGCTCTGTAATAGCAGCGCTCAGTAAATGGTTGTGAGATGGCAGCGTGGAGTTTTCCGTGCCACATGCCCTGACGCATCAGGAACCTCCCCACCCCCCACCCTGGGAGACATCCCCAGGACCCCTTTGCAGGACACCTCTCCCAGCCGCTGCGCCGAACCATCCAGCAGAAAGCCACTGGAAATCTGGTGTCGCGGTAGCTCACAGTCCCAGGGGGTGAGTCCCAGCGCTGCCACTCTGAGAGGCCCGGGCCAGTTTCTAAAAGGCTCTCAGCTTCCTCTGTGATTTGCGGGCTGTGCCCTCACAGGGTGACTGTGCCCGTTAGGCCAGGCCAGGACCCGCCACCCGTGCCCGGCAGGCGCCGGTGGAAACTCCTTTTCCTCAGTCACCAGCAGCTGCACTGCAGGAACCACGGCGCTTACTGTTACGCAGGTCGTCCCCTGCCCCTTCCCTGGGTACTCAGACCTGAGGCTCAGCGGTTGGCCAGTGACTTGGCCAGTGGGAAAGGGGACCCACATCTGGTGCCACTGGCTGTGCCCACCCTCCAGACACTCATCTGCCTGCTGCTGAGGAGCGCGAGCCCTGCCTCTCTGGGTCCCGTTTCCAGGCTGCTCCCAGTTCGCAAAATGATCGTTGGAGGGGTCTTACCTTCCTCTGGGTGCGGGCCCCCTGCCCTGGGGTCTGGCGGTGGTTTCAGAGGCAGGAGAAGGCAGGGCGCAGTGAGGAGGGGACCGGCTTCTCCCTGCAGCCAGAGCTGGGAGGGCAGTGGTGGCCTCCCTCCTGCCAGCGAGAATCTTCTTGCAGGTCAAACTCCAAATTCCAGTGCAGCTGAGATTAGGAAAAGTGAGAATGGTCTTTCCAGGGACAGGGAGAGCGGGGCCTCTTGTAATGTACTCCGCGAATCACTCAAGGGCGCCTCAAGAAGTCGAGTTAAGGAGCCACATTCATTTCAAAGCTGAGACTACGAGGGGGCAATTTGCTCTCCAAATCTCGTTGTGCCCCCTTGGCCGAAACACCAGATTTATTTTATATAGGCAAATATCACAAAGGTATTGATTACATCTCGAGGTTTGAATGAGGAACCTGGTTTGCAAAAAGCAGTTTGTTACGGAAGCTTAGATTGAGCTGATTAGTTATCTACAAAGATTAATTACTGTTTTGGGTCTTGGGAACACTGAGTCCACGGAAACACATTATCTGGAGCCACTGGGGCAATTTAGAGTAATTGTGCTGTCCTGGCCTCCCGGTGCAGAGGAATGTGTTTTCTAAAACCAGTATGACCACTATCAATGGGGTATTCACATTACAATCAATGGGGTATTCAATTGAATGGGATGATTTATATAGTTCAGAAAATCAAAATAGATGGGGGGCAACGCTGCCCCCTTCCTGGAAGCCGCTTCCTTCTCTGCCCAGTTGCCTGTGAACACTGCGAGGCTTTCAGCTCGGTGTGCAGGGCGGGCAGGCAGGTCTGTTTCCTGGGATCATGGGAAGGGGGACCAGTTCCTTTTACCACAGGGTTTGGTCTCAGGGAAGGTTGTCAGCCTGAGAGAGGAGAGGGAGACCCTGGGGAGGCAGCCCAGTAAGGATTAAATGGTGACGGGAAGGAAGAAGAGGCAGGAGAAATATTTCCAGAGGGGAATTTGAAGGCGAGGGACGGGTGGCTGGGGAGAAGTCACCGCTTCCTTTGCTCCTGCTCTGGTGTCTCACCCACAAGGTGCTCTCACCCCCCTGGGGGCAGGTCACAGAGTCAGGAAAAGCCACAGCCTTTGCATGCTGGGCAGTTGGGTTAAAAAGCAGTCACTGGAGAGAACCAAGATGGCGGCGTAGGTAAACACCGGAGATGGGCGGCGTATAAACACCGGAGATGGCTGCCTCGCACAACCACTTCAAAAATACAACTAAAAGACGGAGCAGACATCATCCAGAACCACAGGAAGGCTGGCTGGGGGGAAATTCTTCAACTAGAAGGAAAGAGAACAGCACATTGAGGCTCAGAGGAGGCGCAGTGCGGAAAATACAAAGGTGCGGAGGTGCGCGCAGAGCGGGCTGGTGGCTGAGGGCACGGTTGTCATTTTCAATCAAGAGGGAGTCTCAGATTCTGAGCTCCAGTCTCTAGGGACCCAGACTCCAACGGGAGAAG